CTCTAGCCTGGGCAACAGAGTGAGACTCTGTCTCAAAAAAAAAAAAGAAAAGAAAAAAGAAATAAAAGAATTCATGGAATCTCGAAGCACGGATTTTTATGCCACAAGAATAAACAAACTTATTTCTCATTGGCAAAAAGTGTTGGTTGTAATGGTTACTACTTAGATTAATAAAGATGTGTTTGAGCCTAGTTATGATGATTTAAAATTCATGGTTGGGAAACCACAATTACTTTTGCACCAACCTACTACACACCCATACACACATATACATAAGTTTATGCATAAAATATTAGTGGTTGTGGACCTGGGAGCCAGGAATGGAAAATAGATTTATGATACTTTATATATACCAGTCTATACTATTGGAAGTTATATTACCTTTAAAAAATATGAGATCTTTGGAGTTAAAAATTACCAGGCCCCACCTAAGACTTGCAGAATAAGAATTGGAATACTCCTCAAGTGATTCTGAGGTACAGCTAGGGCTGAGAACCACCAACTAAACGGAAGGGAAATCCAGGGTTATCCCCCAGATTCAAGTGATAGGGGGACTTCTAGTTGGCAAGGGATCAGTAGAGAAGGAGCATACCACCCACAGAGTTCACCCGTGCTGCACAGAACAACTCCTATACATCCCAAATTAGGAGATCGACCGCCTCCTGGCTCTCTGAGCTTGGGAGGTGAGGTCAGAGGCAAGGAATGGGGATGGGAAGATAGGTGGTCCAGGAGTGAGGGGCTGGGCAGGCTGGGCATAAGGACCAGATGGCAAGCACTGTGAAAGGCACCAGGATTCTCAGGAACATTCACTCAGGAAGGAGCCATGATGCTTAAAAAGCACTAAGCAATTTATTCAACCTTCTGAAGCCTTGGTTTCCTCATCTGTAAAATCAGAATGTTAATAGTCCCCATATCCTAGGGTCATGAGGATTCAGTGAGACAGGGATGTAAAGCACTTAGCACAGCCCTAGCACATGGTATACAGGAATGATGAGGATGCTTATTTACTGATGCTACTCTGGCAGCAGCAGTATTCACCCAGTCAACACTGGAGCATCCCTGTGCCGTCTAAGGCTCTACATTTAAAATCCAGCTAGGAGGTGAGAGATGCAGACATTAATGGCTGCTCCGTAAGTGCCATGTCATGGCATAATCATGCTCACAGGAAAATACCCCGTTTGCTTCTGGCTGAGGTGATCAGGGAAAGCTTCAGAGAGGAGAAGGAAGACTACTTGATCGGTTCAGGATCAAGTGGATCCTCCCACTTAGAGGAGGGGAATGAATGACCACCCCAAATCTGTCTTTTTCCTCTCACCAGCTCGCCTCCACACCCCATGCCCTTGTTTTCTGTCCCTGGTAGCTCCAGCCTTCAAGTCTCTAAGACCTGAACACCCCAAATTCCCTCTTCCAAAAACCTTACCTGCCTACAGATTTTTCCTTCACTATCTATTTCCTTAGCCACTGTGGGAGGTCAGATTTTGTATCACTATTCACCCCAGCACCATCCGCCTGTTTCCCTTTTGAAATAGGCCAACCCATTCCCAAAGCCCCCTTCACCAGGAAGCCCTCCCAGACAACGTATCTCCTCCTAACCTAGTTTTGTCTGTCTGCACCAGGGTCCTAGCTCTGCTAAGCTTCACTACTTGCCAACCTCCACCCTAGTCTGCACCCAGCTTCCACCGCAAACATCCCAAATAGGTGAGAGCTGGGGAGAAGGGGCACACAGAGGCATCCTCAAGCACGTTCCTGGCTAGCCGCGTCGTCCCAGTCCCAGCACTCACGGATCCTTCCCTAGCCCTGTCCATTGCGCATGTAGCGGCGAGGCAGGGCAGCGCCCGGGATCCGCGGCGCCGCACCACCCGGCAGAGGCAGAGCCCGCAGGGCCGCGGCGCCAGGGTAACCGCACCGCCTCCACACGCAGCACTCAGGGCGCTGGTGACATCAGCTCCCAATTGCCGCGAGAGCAACGAAGGGGCGCAGGGGCACGGGAGGTCCCTCCAAGCGCCTGGCCAGGTGGTGCAACTACTGCAGCCACTGAGACCCCTTCCAGGCAGGAAAGGACCTCCGGAAGGAATCTCTGGGAGGGCCCGCATCGCCCTGGAAAGGGCTCCGCAAGTCGCGCAGGGTTCCAGCTCCAGGAGGCCCCTCCCACGTAGCATTTGCCCTCCAAGGTGACCCTATGCCTGAAGTTTGGGGGAGGAGGAGTAGGATAGCATATAAATTGGGAAAACTGGGGCCCTAGAGAGGTCGCTAGGCTCAGCCTGGACGAGTGGGACCCGGGGCCCACACACCTCCCCCTCCGGCCCCAAATCCACTTTCCCACGGCCCAAGCCCGAAAGCGCCCTAGAAAACCGGCTCCCACCCTTTCCTGCACAGGATCTCAGAAATCCTGGCTTAGGTTCCAGATCCTAGTGCTTTGCCCCATCTCCCCACCGCAGGGATAATTCCTTGTTGCCCCCTCCGCACACACAAACACTCTTTCCCCAAGCAGGAAGTATTACACCCCTTTCCCCCCTCCCCACATACACACACACATTCTCCTGGGAAAGAGCCCAGATTTGGGTGTCAGCGGGACCTGGGTCAGATCCCAAAGGACTGAAGGAGGCTGAGTCATGGGCAGAAGCCCCAGCACACATTAGGCCCTCTGTGGACATCCCTACCCACCCCTCCTGTTCTGTCCCTGACTTCCTCTTTGCTTCTCATCACCTTCTGTTCCCTTCAGAATCTCCACCAGGGCTAAGTTCAAATGCTGGTTTAGGGATTTGACAAGCTGTGAGAATTTAACCTCTGGAGCCTCAGTTTGTAAACTGGGAAGTATTCCACCTCCTTCATCATAGCATTGTTTGAGGATTAAATGGGAAAGCCTAATCTCCATTTAGGCCTAGCACATATTTAATAATTTGGGGGTCTAGCTCAGTCACCCGGGGTAGAGTACAGTAGCATTATCATACCTCACTGTGAACTCATATTCTTGGGCTCAAGTGGTCCTTCTGCCTCAGCCTCCTGAGTAGCTGGGACTACCATACGAAGCTAATTTTTCTATTTTTGTAGAGACTGGGTCTTGCTCTTGCTCGGTCTGATCTTGAACTCCTGGCCTTAAGCAATCCTCCTGCCTTGGCCTCCCAGAGTGCTAGGATTATAGGTGTGAGCCACTGTGCCTGGCCACATATTTAAAAACAAGTTTTCTCTCACTCTCACCTCCTCTTTACTTACAGCTTATGTTGCCTCCTCCTAAAAGTCTTCTTGGATTTACTCATCCATGACTACCTCTCTTGTTAATCACTGAAACATCAATGGGTCTCTCTTTTGAGAACCTGCTGAACTTGGTAGAGAAAGAACACAGTACCCTCAGCCATGGCTGAAGAAGAGGTGACTAATGTTAAAACTAATCCCTCCTCTGCCCCAGAACTTCTACGGGCCACCCACAAGAAAAAATGACATTGGTTTGGAGGAGAGCAGGTTGCAGAATTTAAACATTTACATACCTAGACCAACTCTCTCCAATAAAACTTGTGATGAAGCCAGGCAAAGTGGCTCACACCTGTAATCCTAGCACTCTGGGATGCCGAGGCGGGCGGATTGCTCAAGGTCAGGAGTTTGAAACCAGCCTGAGCAAGAGTCTCTCCTAAAAATAGAAATAAATTAATTGGCCAACTAAAACTATATAGAAAACATTAGCCAGGCATGGTGGCACATGCCTGTAGTCCCAGCTACTTGGGAGGCTGAGGCAGAAGGATTGGTTGAGCCCAGAAGTTGGAGGTTGCTGTGAGCTAGGCTGATGCCCTGGCACTCTAGCCTGGGCAACAGAGTGAGACTCTGTCTCAAAAAACAAACAAACAAACAAACAAACTTGTGATGATGGAAAATGTTCACTAGCCATCTAGCACTTGAAATGTGGCTGAAGCAACTAAGGAACTAAATGTTTTATTTTAATTAACTAAAATTACGATTTAAACAGCCATACATAACTATTAACATGGACAGTGCAGAGGACTATGAATGGAAAAATAGGTTTTATCTCATGTGCCAACACAGGACAATTGGGTAGTATCAGGGTCCCAACAGGTCCATTGATTGAATACCTTTCTCCAAATTAGAAAATGGTGACCCTCTCCAGGTAAACAAATTAGATAAAGGTGCCCCCTCCTGATGCAGATGAAACCAGACCAGAACTCTTGCCTTTGGCTGGTGGCTGTATGAAAATCACAGCCTGCAAAATTTATGCCAAGACTGTGCTGAGAAAGATTCTGAGGCCACATCTGGGCTCCTTGGTAAAGAGTGTCATACAATTGACTAGTAATGTCTACTAAGATCCAGGGAGTGGGGGCGGAGCTTGAGGGGGCAGCACATGTGCAATAAACTGCCATTCCTGACCTAGACTCTTTAGTTCTGCCTCCCACCTCTCTCAAAAGGAATCCCCTGCCTGGTCCAGGCAGTCACTTCTACAATTTCCTCCATCTTCCCTATCTCAATAAACGGCCACTCCACCCAGTTGCTTAGTCACACACCTGGGAATCATCCTAGAGTTGTCTTTGCCTTACCCCTCACATCCAATCCATCAGCAAGCCCTGTCAGATCTACCCCTGTCATTTGAAATCCATGAGCTTCTCCCTGTCTCTACCATGAGCACTTTAATCCACACCACCCGGTTCACTCCTCTATGACTGTGACAACACTCACCTGGTAGTCTTCTGCTCCCTCTCTTGTCAACCCATCCTCCACTCCCCACTCAGCATATTCTCCACAGAAGTCATTTAAAAACATCAGATGAGTCATTCCTCTGCTTAAAACCATTCCATGGCCCAATATCACACTTAATGTAAAATCGGAGCACCTCATCATGGCCTTCAAGGCCCTGAATGATCTGGCCCTTGCCCATCAGCCCCACCCCACTACCACATTCCAGCCACACTGGCTCTCTTGCTTTCCCACAAATATGTCACCCTCATCCCCATCTAAGGGCCTTTGCCTGTGCTATGCCCTCTGTCTGGGAAGCCCTTCCTCCAACCTCCACATATCTTCAGATCCTTCTGGTATGAGCTCAAGGAGCTCCTCACAGAGGCCCTCCTTGAGCTCCACATATAATCCCCACTTCCATCATAATTGTACCATGTGATCTTATTTATGTGTTTGCATGTTTATTGTCTGTTCTCCCACTGCAATGGACCTTTCCTGACTTGTTCACTGAGGTATCCCATGGTCTAGAAAGGAGTTTAGTATATAGAACCTGTTCAGTAAATGTGTTTAAGAATAAAGACTAAACAGCTCCCTGCCATCTCTAGGGCCAGCAGAACACTTGCTCCTAGCCTGAAGTCTCCTTTCCCTTCTGTAGTGAGGCTATATCCTTCTTGCAAACCTCTCTCCCATTGAACTCCTCTCTTCCTCCCATACCTAAAAGGAGCCCTTGTCCCCAAAACAGATATCCACACCCACACACAGAACTTCTAGAAATAGGTGTGAAGGCCCTGCTGCCAACATAAATTTTTGATCAGCAGAACCGAGCCTGGGTCCACACACAGCACCCAATGCAGGGCATACAGAACACCTGTCCCTCTCCCCACTTTAAGCAGGCCCAACTCTCCCCACCCTCTGCCCCAGCAGGGATGGGCAGGGCAGAGATAGGGGCTGGGATGCAAGCAGCGGAGGTATGTACTCCAGGGGCGGGGGCATTACCTCCAGGCTGAGTGCCATCTGCCGAATGTACAGCATATTCAGGTCCTCCAGGATGTGCAATCTGTCCTGCATCTCTGTGCCCCCCAGTGCCCCTTCCCTTGTAGACCCCTCCAGAGGGGGGCAGGTAGGCACCACGCTGTCCCACAATTCCTCCTCCCACTGTTCCCTCAGTCTTGAAAGAGGTGACCAGCTCTTGGGCAGAGGCTGCCCTGTCCCTGTGCACTCGTTAGACCCCTCTGGCTGCTGTGACAAAATTTCCTCTCCTACTGCTGTTCCAAGGCCCTGTTGGGAGCCAGGCAAGGGAGGAAAGGAAAGTAAGGTGAAGATGAGTGGGGTCCCAGGAGGTAAGGCCAGCTGCAGAGGGGGCTCTGGGCACAGAGTGTCCAGTCTTGCTTTGGTGGCAGCTGTTCTCCCAGCTGTGGAAGAAAAAGGCCCTTTCATTCCGACTCTGGCCCCTCCCTAGCCCTCGCCCACATCCCTGGCCTGGTGGACAGAGAATCTGTATGCGGAGAGGGCAGTGAGGGGCAGGCACAGCTGGAAGGGGGCAGGGAAAGGACGCCTCATGCAGGCTCTACAGAGTCATGGGGTTTGTCAAGAGGTTGAAGCTTTCCGAAAGGGGTTCAGGCTTAGTACGAGAAAGTTAGAAAGAAGAGCGGACGGAGGCGAGGACTTGGGAGAGTGAGCCCAAGGAGTGGGACAAAGGGGTGAGTCGGTAATGCAGCCCAGCCCCCAGGGCCACCACTTCCAACTTGGGGCCCCCATCCAGCCCGCTCCACCCTGGGCTCACAATTACCTCGCTTTTCCAGCAGAAGGGAGGAGAGGGAGGGAGGAAGGCAGGGGTGTGCCTGTCTGCTGCTGCCCCCGCTCCCCTCTGCAGGCCCCTTCCCTTCCAGACAGGAAACCAGCCCCGATTCCCAGCCAGCTGCAGCTTTGCCCCCCTCCACCCTAGGCCCACGGAGTCACACTCCGCTCGGCGGCCAGCCGGGCCCTGCGGCTCCGCCCCGGCTCCTCAGCGCTGGCCACCGAAGGCCGGGCTGATCGCAGGGGCGGCGCCAGCTCACAAGTCCCTCCTCTGTCCCCGGCCTTGCCCCTCATTCCCCCATGCTGGCCCGATGCGGGTTCCTCAGGGCAAGTAGTTTAGGGGCAGGTCCCCAGCAAAGGTCCTCTCCCCCAAGCCCACTAGCTTCTGAGTCAGAGAAGGCCAGGGACACTGGGACAAGGGTGTGAAAGGGCCTTTGTTCTGGGCAGGCTGGAGCGAAAGGGCAGAAGCCAGGCCTGGAATCCCAGCCCGAGGGAGAGGGGGCGGGAGGAAGGCCCACCTTACTTAACCCTTTCCAGGCCTGGGAGGGAAGGCGAGCTGGGAATTGAGCTTCGCTTGGGCAAGCGTGAGGCTGACATTGGGACAGAGAGAGAGAGTCTCTGCGGTGGCTACTCGCCCTTTCAGTCCTGGCTCGGCCACATAGCTTCAGCCCCACTGGAGCCTCTTTAGGTAGTTGCGGGTAGGGCTCAGACGGGGCAACGTGTGGACCCACGCACCGGGAGGAAACTCTCAGCCTAGAGGCCGGACTCCTCTTAGGCCCCAGGAAAGAAGGCGGAGAGTTTGGGTGTGGAAAATAACTCCGAAGAGTTAAAAGCGAACTCCCCACTCCCCTAGCCCTTCAGGGACACAGAGGAGCTGTTGAAAGGAGCTTCGCAGAACCGGCCTAGAAGTGCAGACTGACGACAGAGGCTGGCCCAGACGGTGGGGACAGGTTGCGGGGTGGGGCTGGCGGTCCCACCGTTGCTGCCCGCCTAGCTGCCCACTGCCCTTGGCCCAAGGACGCCCAGAAGAGGCTGGGGTCCGGGCACATTTTGGGAATCAAGCCTGGGGCTCCTCAAATTGAGGCCAACCCGGAGTTTTTCTAGGCAGAGGCAAATCATCCCAACCAAGCCAGGGAATGTTCAGGGCAGCACAGATCCGATCAACGTGCAGACGGTCCGCACCTTACTTTTTAAGTCAACAATTCGGGCGGGTTTGTACTCAGATCGCCGAGTCCCCGCCCCTTGGCGTGAGCGCGGCCAGGGCTGCCGGACAGAGCCGGGGAGGGGAAGGAGGGGAAGGCAGGGGCGCGGGTCTCTCACCTCTGGCTGGTCGCTGAAGAGGCTGAGTCGGAAGCGGCCGCGTTTGAACTCCATCTCCAGGGCGGAACCCCTGGCCACGGTTACCCGGCTCCGGTGGTTTCGGGAGAACATGCTGGCGGCTCCGCGCGGCTGCTCACCCTGCCGGCTGTTGTGTGCTTCTGTCCCTCGACGCCCACCAGCCAGTCGGGTCGGGAATCTCCCGCTGCCTGGTTCCCAAACCCCGCCCCCGGAGACGACACCTGGGCCGGGCAGGGCGCGGCACCCTCCTCTTCCACCCCCGCCAAAGGCCCAGCCCGTCCGGCCAGTCCCGGGGCGCCAAGCAAACCTGGCCCGACAGCCCCAGAGCCGGGGCACGCTCCACCTCGCGAGCACTGCGGGGGCGCGTCCTCCCTTCCCGGCCCGGGCGCGAGCGCCTCACCTGGGCGTGGGGCGGGCCCCGAGAAGCCCCGCCCCACCGACCGCCCCCACCTGGCAAACCGATTCCCGAGGCACGGAAAACCCCGTGGCTACAGGACTCGCAGCGTGGCACACTCCGGCTCTAGCCGGGCCCTGCGTCTGGGATTGTGCCCAACCTCACCCCCAGGCAGCCTCTGAAGCGACGATTTCCACTTCCTACAGTCCCAAATGTCCCTTTTTCGTGTCCCTTCCCCCTTAGGTTCCCTTCCGCGCTATCCACCCATCCCCAGAGGACACAGTTCTTGGGGCGGTGCTTAAACATGTGTTGGATTCCTAGCTCTGTCACTGCCTAACCGTACAGATCATGGACTTGGTCCAATCATCGGCCTTTCTGAGATTTAGTATTCTCATCTGTTCAATGGGGATACAGTAATTATTCCTACTCCTCAAGTTATGAGGATTACGTATAAGAAACAGTGTGAAATGCCCAGCATAGTACCTGGCACAAGGCATGTGCCCCATAAGTGGAGTTGTAAAGATAAAGAACCAGGTGCAGCAACTTCATGGCCCTGGATGGGACACCAGCAGCGTCAGCTCCTTGGACCCAGACCTTAAGTGCCTTGGGAGGGTGAGGACTTCCACCACCTCAATGTTGACTATCGCTCAGCTGCTTTGCTGCGTGGCTGAGCAGGGTTACCACTGCCCTTCTGCAAAAACAGGTTCCCTTCTTTCCCCTAGACAGCCCGGTGGGCAAGAAGGAAATGGCAGAGGATTAGCTTGCTGACCACAAATGAGGGGGTCTCTTGGAGGCTTCAGAACTTACTGAGAACTGGAGCAACGGGGGTGGGGGGGGGGATGGAGGGGGGGTGCTCCTACATAGCAGCATGGCTCTGCCCAGAGACTTATCAGCCTTTTACCTCTTAGAGAGCCCAGGTTAGAATTGCTCTGTTATGGAAAATCACACAATATTCTTTTGGAAAAGATGACTTAAAATTACTTCAGCAAAAGGTGAAATTTGTTGGCTTATGGAACTGAAATGTCCAGGGGTCAGGCTTCAGATGTGGCTTGACCCAGACATTAAGTGTCATAAGGATCTAGTCTCTTCCCACCACTTGGCTCTACTTTCCTCCATGTTGGCTTCACTCTCCACAGCGGAACAAAATTGCTGCCAAAAATTCTGAGTCTACATCTTTTCATGCTTAAATTCAGCTGAAAAGAGAGCATCTATTTTTGGAGGCTCCTACACAGGTCTGGGATTCTGTTTTGGATCATTCATCCATCCCAAACCAATCATTGTTGCCAGAAGGTAGGCAGAGCTGAACCAATCACTGTGGCTAATGGGGTTCTGTGTGCCAGTCAGCCAGGCCTGAGTCACTTGCTGACTCCTGGAGACTAACTGGAACCCAGTGAGCTGGGAGGAAGAGAGGAGAAGGGGAAGTTGTTCCCCAAAGAATGTTCCAGGTACTACCACCAGAAGGCAAGGGAATGGATAATGAACAGGAAAAACAATAAACATCCTCTACACACAAAAAGTCACATGGAGAAGGGAGTTCTTCTGGTCAGCAAGAAAGGCAGGTAAAAAGATTTTACAGGTGCGGTGGCTCACGCCTGTAATCCTAGCACTCTGGGAGGCTGAGGTGGGTGGATTGCTCGAGGTCAGGAATTTGAAACCAGCCTGAGCAAGAGCGAGACCCCGTCTCTACTATAAATAGAAAGAAATTAATTGGCCAACTAATATATATAGAAAAAATTAGCCAGGCATGGTAGTGCATGCTGTAGTCCCAGCTACTTGGGAGGCTGAGGCAGTAGGATCACTTGAGCCCAGGAGTTTGAGGTTGCTGTGAGCTAGGCTGACGCCATGGCACTCACTCTAGCCTGGGCAACAAAGTGAGACTCTGTCTCAAAAAAAAAAAAAAAAGATTTTACAAAGTCCATGGCATCTGAGATAAACCTCGAAGTATGTGTGAGGAGAAAGAAAGGGAAGGATATTGTTCCTTAATTTCTTCCAATATTGTTTGTCACTCCTCTGAACTATAAACTTCTCAGGGAGGACACTCTGTTTTGTCTAATGCTTTATCCCTAGTGCCTGGAATATAGCAAGTGCACAATAAATATCAGTTGAAGTAAATAAATAAAGGAGGCTGGGCAGGATGGCTCATGCCTGTAATCTTAGCACTTTGGGAGGCTGAGGCGGGAGGATTGCTTAAGCTAGGGAATTTGAAACCACTCTGAGCAAGAGCGAGACCCGTCTCTACTATAAATAGAAAGAAATTAGCCAAACAACTAAAAATAGAAAAAAAAAATTAGCTGGGCCCGGTGGTGCGTGCCTGTAGTCCCAGCTACTCGGGAGGCTGAGGTAAGAGGATTACTTGAGCCCAGAAGTTTGAGGTTGCTGTGAGCTAGGCTGACACCATGGCACTCTAGCCCAGGCAACAGAGTGAGACTCTGTCTCAAAAATAAATAAATAAAGACGATATCTAAAGGAATCATGCAGATTTGAGAGTCCTTGACTGAGATGAGCCATCCTGTTGGATTAAAACAGTGTATTTCAAGCATTTGCTTTTAAGTAAATGAAATCTTACCTGGAATGCATGAAATAGAATCAGAGTTGCTGTGATGGAAGCAGGTGCTAGAGGGCCTGTCACCATGTCCCTGTGCCCCCACAGGCCCTCGGCCACCCCCTGCTCCTCCGTGAACACAGGCTCTACGGAAGGGTTTGAAAACCCCTCTCCTGAGACCCAGGAAGGAGCTAGAGGAATGAAGGGTGTTTGGGAAGGAGGTTGGGCTAAAATCCTGCCTGACAGTTTGTACTCAATGTGGCTGAAGATTTTTGGAAACGAGTGACATAATCAGAGTTATATTTTAGAGATTATGATTTGGCAGCCTTTTGCATAAGTCTATTGGAGGAGTTGTGACTCGGGTCAGGGAAGCCGGCTAACATTGCTCTCATCTGAGGGTGGATTTTTTTTTTTAATGGATCCTAGGGCCGGGCGTGGTGGCTCACGCCTGTAATCCTAGCACTCCAGGAGGCTAAGGCGGGCGGATTGCTCGAGGTCAGGTGGCGAGACCCCGTCTCTACTAAAAATAGAAAGAAATTAATTGACCAACTAAAAATATACATACAAAAAATTAGCCGGGCATGGTGGTGCATGCCTGTAGTCCCAGCTACTCGGGAGGCTGAGGCAGCAGGATCATTTGAGCCCAGGAGATTGAGGTTGCTGTGAACTAAGGCTGATGACACAGCACTCACTCTAGCCTGGGCAACAGAGTGAGACTCTGTCTCTAAAAAAAAATTTAATAAAAAATTAATGGATCCTAGGGGTTCGTGTGGATTTATTTATTTATTTATTTTTGAGTTTGACAAATTTATTGGTATTTTAGTAAAGACATTCATCTCAGTCATTTCTCTCTCCCATCTTGACCTTAGGTTATATTTCATTTGGGTCAAGAAAAGAATATGTAGGAGAGGGATGTTATTTTAACAAACAGTAAAATGGACAAAAATGGATAGTTTGCCTACATTAAAGTAAGTTAAATTCATGTATCTTGATAAAATTAAATCATGTAAGAACTAAGAGTTCTATATACATTTCCATTGTTTTACCTGGGGCTTATTCTAAACTTAAAAGCAAGTGAACAAAGTGTTAGGAATACACACAGGCTGCTTCTCTGGAGTTATTACCTATTAAAAGAGCTCAGCAAGTAATTACCACCAATAAAATAGACTGAAGCTGCCTCCAAATTTTAACATCACAGGACTTTTCAAGGGAATCATTATACTGTATGTTTCTTTTGTGCTCTATGCTTTTAAAGATGTGTAACTGTCACACTTAAAAAAAAGTTCATATGTACAATACAAAATATAAAAACAAACACCCTACAAAACACACAAATTCTAACAA